TTGGAAATTCCCGTGCTCAAGTTGAAAGTAAGCAATTGTCCAAAATAAAAGTGAAAGAAGAAACGATAACACCAAAACAGTGCTGCTAAAACCTTGGTTTATTATTCGAATTAGACTTGAGATCCAAAAGTCAAGTAAATATGTTAGTAAAAAAATCATATTATGAACTAAAATTACTTTATATGTATAGATATTCTCAGCACAATCCTTGAATTGAAAGTCTGCGACTCTCTTATAGTTTGTCAAGAATTTCATATGGAGATATTATCAGATAAAGACAAAACAAGTCTTCAAAAGGTACAAAATTCTTGTGTAAAATTCAGCTACAATTTGAGAAAATATGATCATTTCAGTTCACAGTTTTATATGTCAAATCCATTGTCTGCTAAATATGGAAAAAAATCTAGTGAGCTGGAGTATCTGGTCTGCCCACACAAGGGAAATCACCTACAGGGTTCTGTGGCCGATACAGTTGTACCGCCATACGGTCAACTCGAGGAAACACCCATTTCAATTGTTTTCCTGTCAAACCTACATAACCTTGAAAATCGTAAATGAGTTAAGCGGTAACGGTTGAGCCCGTTACCACCGATACAACAAGGTCAGCAGACTCTGAAGTAAACAGCCCGTGACGTCACTAAGAGAGGCCAGTGTTTTATTTTATCGCTTGTCGACTAACGCGTCAGTTCGTGTTAATTCATCGGTGATTCACGTATATTTTTGAAACGGTCCCGAATTCTTTTGTTTATTCATCAAAATAATTGGCGGAAAAATTACTGTTTTGTGAAAAATTTTGTGTTGTGATCGGCGAAATAACAATGCCTTTCAAGTGTTGTGTTCCCTTTTGTCGGGGGAATTATGTGGGTGGTTCAAAAGTTAATGCTTTGAGTTTCCCGTTGGACGAGGAGCTATCGAAAATGTGGGTATATGCAATTCACCGCGAGGATTTTACTCCATCTAAGTTCAGTAGTAAACAGAGCTTAATTCATAATGATGAATCAATAATAAAAGACAATTACTCTCTCATAAAAAGTATAAGTAGAGGCAAAATAGAAAAGCTTTGATTGTGCAGTTAGTTTTGTATTCGTATATTATAGTCAACAAAATCATCTCTGAATTCGAGGAAATTTTCTTGAATGTTCATAATAAACGGGCATTTTCAATTCTCAATCTCAAATTTCTTCCTAAAAACGGTCATTTGCCTCGTGGCAATGAATGCAGAATTCATTCCAATGATCAAATTGCAACTATCATATTAACATGAACTACAAACACTCTACTTAAAAAGGTTAAACTGCATTTATCATGATATTTATCATGAAGATATTTGACTAAAAAGTTCCAAATTTCACCTTCTTTTTCACCTGTCTTCTGGATGGCATTTAGAACAAATTTCCCTTCTTTTTTCATCATATTGGACAATTTATATATAATTCAACTATAAATATGATTTTCTTGGGATTAATCTATATTTAGTGAAAAGAAGGAAGAATATAATTCAAAATAATGGCGTGTGTAATGTCATTCCAAAGCAATCTATTGACATTTGACATCTCGTATTTTGATTGACTACCTATTGATTGAATGGTCGTCATCTGGAATGCTTGTTCACTAAATATGAAAAACTCGCCATAAAAATCATATTTCCTGTTCAATTTTCTATATAAAAATGTGGCATCGAAGTACATCATGAGTATATGAAGTGTCCAATGACAAAATAAGAGCAAGTAGCTTCAAATGCCCCCAACACAAGGGGAGAAAGAAGGCGAAATTTCGAACTTTTTCTTGAAATATCTCAATAAATAGTGGTTTGTTCACATTTTCATTATAAAATTCGGTTTATCAGACAAAAATACGTGAGTACCGAAAAAAATTTTCAAAAAAAAACCATCGCATGATAAATGCAGTTTTACCCTTGAACATAGGCTAAGGGCATATTGTTTGGACCAAAATATGGCGATTGGACCAAACATGCCTTGATAAAATATTGCTGTGAAAAAAGATACAGGGTGTTAAAGTTGATTGTTTTCGTTTTTTTGTCGGTTTTTTGCTTATAATTTCACTATATATGAAATATATTTGAAAAAGTTTTTTGATTTATCTGCTTCATGCCTAGATATTAGAGATATTACAATTCATACCTTCTGGCTGCATCCCGCATTTATATATTCATGAAATGATTGTGTCGAGACATTTCAATCGAAAAAATTTTGACTATAAACTCGCACCAAAATTCATTCTCTGACAAGAAATGCCATTACCAGCAACATTATCTGACAGTTCAAAGCACACTCTTCATGAATGAAATAATATTTGTACTTAATTACCATCTGAGACTCTGAACTGTTAAAAAAAATATCGTTTTTCTCGAAAACGGATGAAAATATCGTATGCAAACAAGGGTGCCAATATTACGTAAAAATGTGCCATCGAAGTACATCATGAGTATATAAAGTGTCCAATGACAAAATAAGAGCAAGTAGCTTCAAATGCCCCCAACACAAGGGGAGAAAGAAGGCGAAATTTCGAACTTTTTCTTGAAACATCTCAATAAATAGTGGTTTGTTCACATTTTCATTATAAAATTCGGTTTATCAGACAAAAATACGTGAGTACCGAAAAAAATTAAAAAAAAAAACCATCGCATGACAAATGCAGTTTTACCCTTGAACATAGGCTAAGGGCATATTGTTTGGACCAAAATATGGCGATTGGACCAAACATGCCCTGATAAAATATTGCTGTGAAAAAAGATACAGGGCGTTAAAGTTGATTTTTTTCGGTTTTTGTCGGTTTTTTGCTTATAATTCTACTATATATGAAATATATTTGAAAAAGTTTGTACCCTGTATATGTATATCTCGCCCAAAATAAGTTGTTTATTGGACAATGCTTCAATTCCCTCCTAAAGTTTTCTGGTTCACTTTAGAACGATGATAAATAGATTGAAATTGTAAAAGGAGGTTCTTGATTAGCGTTTCTGATGAAATAATGCTGAACTAATAACGGCTTTTTCCGTTTTCGCGTTTTTCATGAGAAAATGTAAACAAATTGTTTTATAGTTGGAGTCTTTTTCGAACCATTAAAAACCTGTACCTCCGTTATCTTAGATATTCTATTAGCAATATTTTGCTAAACAACTTATTTTGGTGAGATACCTATACAGGGTGTATTTAAATAAAACCGAAAACATTCGAGGGGTGTTTCCTTGTGACATTCTAGCAAATAAAGTTCATATGAAAATGTGTCCTAATCTGCTCCGTTTTTGAGATACAGGATGTTGAAGTTGGAAGTATCAATTGTTTTTATTCATAACCCCCCTGTATAAGCTTTCATGGTGCCAAATTCAGTATGAATGGAGACTGATTGAGCCCCAAAATCCCAGAATGATTCTAATTGGAGTTATTGAGTAATCTCAATGGAAGTCTTGAGAATACATACTTACATTAAAATTTGGAGTCAAATCGAATTTTTATTGTTTCTCCAAAAACTAAGCTGGATACAAAAATCACACAGGAGATAAAAAAGTTGTTATTTCAATAGTTCAATCTAATGAAGATATAAAAGTCAGAAAAACTGGTGATGGACAATGACATTCACCATGAATATCGATAAATTTACCCACTGTGACGCCACTGGAAATATTATTTCGAATCTAATTGCACTTGAAGAAGCTCCATATCACTATACAGGGTGTAAATTTGAAAACTTTCAATTCGAATATGTCGCGAAATAAAAATGTTAGAAAAACGCCGCTTGGCACAAATGCTAAAGAGTTATGGAAACTAGAACCACCATATTTCGGTCAAGGGATGAGTCACACCGTCGGCGCGACACACCCCAACTTTGAAATGTCAAATGGCACTACCTCTTTTGTGATACCTCAAATGAACGGTCTCAGTCAGTGGTATTCACCTGTACAAGACTTTTTTTCCACCCACTACAGGGTGTACGAAAAACATGAAGTCGAGGGTCTAAATTTGAAAACTTTCAATGCGAATTTCTCGCTAAATAAAAAATTTAGGAGAACGCCGCTTGGCACAAATGCTACAGAGTTAGGGGGGACTAGAACCACCATACTTCAGTAAAGGGATGAGTCACCCCGTCGGCGCGACACACTCCATCTTTGAAATGTCAAATGGCACTACCTCTTTTGTGATACCTCAAATGAACGGTCTCAGTCAGTAGTATTCACCTGTACAAGACTTATTTTCCACCCACTACAGGGTGAACGAAAAACATAATGTCGAATAAAATAAAATGCAGAATGCCGATATATTCTAAGAGATGTGTTCCAAAATGTTAGAATGGCATTTGAACATCGATTATACTATTGCTTACAACAGAATAGAATGCATTTTGAACATCTGATCAAATAAAATTTCCTTTTAACACAATACATTTTATTTTATTCGACTTTATATTTTTCGTACACCCTGTAGTGGGTGGAAGAAAAGTCTTGTACAGGTGTATACTACTGACTGAGACTGTTTATTTGAGGCATCACAAAGAGGTAGTGCCATTTGACATTTCAAAGTTGGGGTGTGTAGCGCCGACGGGGTGACTCATCCCTTGACCGAAATATGGTGGTTCTAGTTTCCTTTAACTCTTTAGCATTTTTGCCAAACGGCGTTTTTCTAACTTTTTTCTTTCGCGAGATATTCGCATTGGAAGTTTTCAAATTTACACCCTGTATATTGACAAAACCACAACGTTTTATTGAAATTGATGGAAAAACAGTTGAGAAATGAATAAAAAAAAGATTTTTCATGGAAGTATTAATACCCTGTATCTCAAAAACGAAGCAAGTAAGGACACATGTTCATGTGAACTTCATTTCCTAAAATATCACAAGGAATGATCCCTTGAATTTTTCAGATGTTATTCAGATATATCCTGTTAAAAAATCTCACTTTCACATTCACCCTGTATAGACATTTTTGAGCGATTTGAGAAAAATTGCGTCATTTCCAGACCTACTGCGTGGACCACCAAACAGCCGATTCGGCCTGCTCGGCCACGGCCTACCTCGGCGGAGTCAAGGCCAACTTGGGCACCATAGGCGTATCGGCTGCGGTGTCGAAAAAAAACTGCACGGCCATGAACGATCCGGAAAATCACGTGGATTCGATAGCTAGGCTGTTCCAGTTGAAGGGAAAGAGGTCGGGACTTGTCACCAACACGAAAGTGACGCATGCGTCTCCGGCAGGTAAGGGAGAGGAGAGGATACAATTTGACTTTATGAAAAAAAATTTATTTACAACCATATAAGTGATGTTGTCAGTACTAGAGCCACTGGATGGTATTAGTTTGATAAGAGTTCGGACACAGCTGAACTTTTGTCTATTTCTATTCTCTATAATACAATGGTTTAAGTGAATAAAAGAATAAGACATATATTCTGCTCTTTGTCTTTTCAATTTCCCTAGTAGCGCCTGATTGTCAGATACGATTTTAGAGGTTATATGTTCTGTCAAATCAATCATTGCCGGAGATGGACAATGGGTGTAGGGTACAAATACCCACTTCAATTTATAGTGATACACTTCTAGCAGAACAACTGTTATACAAATGAAAAGAATGCATGTAACAACATTTCAATATTAGAAAATATACACATATGGATAAACTTATAGCTATAATTCCTTATTGTATGTGAAACTGTACTCCAGTGATAAGTATAAAACATGAAGTTATTTATATCAAATCAAAGGTAGGTATTCTCAATATGCAGGAAGTAACATAAGTACTTTCGAGTGAAGTATTCCTGGGATGCTTCATGCTTCATTTCGGAGAAAAAGGGTGTTGAAATACAAAGAACAAATCATTTTTCGATAAACATTTGATAGGAAAAAAGTATTTTATTTTGAAGAGACCTACCAAATACTTGGTTTTGTAAAGTTCACAGCAACTTCACTTAGCGCCCTAGGAGCTAAGGAACATGGATCGATATAGAAAATATCTCCAAAACGATAACCTCCAGCGTAATTAAGGCCCTTATAATAATTTCCTTGATACATAAATAACTATTCACTTTTCACTGTTGAATTTTAAATTTGGTCGGCACCAAAAACACCATTCAATAATATATCACTTCGTAGTTTACTTGCTTTTCTTAGTTTCGTTTTCAAATTCTCAATTTCATTATGTAATTTTGCGATCATTTCCTCTTTTTCCATGATTATTTTGTTTTGTATTTTGTGTGATGATAATAATGGAATTTTGTTCTCGGAATCGTCTGCTTTGTAAATTGATGGAACAGCAGTTTCTCTCAAACAGATTTTAAAATCTTCTGTTTGAAAATGGGCCTAAAATATAGTTTCATTCTAATCAGATGCTTTTATAAGAAGTGAATTCTGATGAGTACCTCACAAATTTCGCTCGTTTTCAAATTGATTTTGCACCCAGGCCATTTCATATCTTCCTTCCATAAGCGAATGGTTGATATTTGTTTCGGAAAATTGAATTAATGATATCCATTTTTTTCATAATTGGCACAGTTTATTACACAGCAAGTGATAGGTGCTTTTATCTCGAATGTATGATTATGAAATTTTATTTCAATTCTGACGTTTATAAAATGTATTGTCAAATTCAAACAATTTTGAATGAAAAAGCGCGGGACGACTATGGGGCTCTTGTCACAATGCAAGGTGTGTAACTTAATAAATCTAAACATTCAAAAACCCTAACCGTTGTCATTTCTGTGTTCAAACTCTTATCAAACTAATAACATCCAGTGACTCTAGTCAGTACTAACGTCATTGAAGGTTGGGAAGTGTCACATTACACTCTACTTTCCGCCCTCACTTCCCGCCCTCACTCATGTAATAATTCAGGTATGTTCAGAACGAAACATAGATTTATTAATTTTGATCGAAATATGATGGTTGTAAATAAAATAGTATACAAACCTCGGTAGGAAGTTTCATTCCTGTCTCGAAATTATAGCTAACCTCGACGCTTGCGTAGTGGTTAACTAATTAATCTCACGACAGGAATGAATCACTTCCCACCTTGGTGTGTAATATACTATAAACAGCCTGTCAAAACATATACAGGGTGTTCTTCACGTACGATACATGTACAGTGTGTTCATTTAGTGCGTAATTCTTCGATATCTCGAAAGCCATAACCTATAGAAAAAAACTTTGGAGAAAAAACTCTTTCAGTTACTGAAGTTGTTCATTTCGAAAATATTTCTAACGATACTGGGTGTTTCATGAAAGCGGGGCAACTCGAAGACGAGTTTTTTCAAATGGAACACCCAGTATTGTTCATTCGAAATTTATTCCGCTCAAGTTCAGCTCTACATCGCTGTAAAAAAAATTGAATTTGGTTGCGGCGTTGCCAAGTTATAATTGATAAACCCATTTTTTCTACTATTGAAGGGTCATGTTCAATTGGGTATGGTATATTTATTTATTGAAATTTCGAAAATATTTTTGGCATACAGTAGTAGCAAGGTCTCACGTATACCAATCCAGTAATCTTGCGAGATAATCCTCTACAGGGTGCTAAAATTTACATTCTGAATATTGTAAGATTCAGACGACGATCATAAGAAATTTTCAAATGGAACACCCTGTATTTTTCATCACGGATTCATTTCGACATCATTCACCTTTTCATCGCAGAAGAAAAAATCAAAATCGATTGCGGCGTTTTCAAGTTATGAGTAATTTCCTTATTTTTACTACTATTTCGGGGTAATTTGTTCGTCCTGATGGTTCCTTAATTTGATTTGAGTGTGGGAATATTGCATTTTGAACAATTTTTTAGAACAATTGCTTGCCACATGACATTCGGGGTTCTACATAGATCATTCAGGTATTTTTGTGATATGTTCATCGTCCAAATTTGAAATATTCCGTAATTTTGCTACTTATGATTCAAATGATATGTGAAACAAACAAACATGCCAAAAGCAACGCCTGTCTGTGAAATAACTTCTACAATACAAACAATGAAGATGCGGATTACGAAAATTAGGAAATTTTTTTGAAATTTGGGCCATTTTTATTGTCGTTATTCTCACAATCCAAATCTTCATTTACCTTGAAGAAGGTAAACATAATGATACAAACAATATGTCTCTACTACGCGGCTTTTGGGAGGAAATTCAGCAAAATGTCGAATCAATCCAAGATATATTTGATTGTAGCGATGTTTGACAGGTCATTACACGAATATTTCGAACAAAATTCAAACTTGGAGAGCCTGTATAAATGTTCCTTTTGTGAGAAAATATATGAATGGTCAATGAATAAATTTGATTATACCGTAGCAACGCAATATTTCCACAATACAAATAAATGAAAGAACTATATGACGTACAAATTACCCCGAAATAGTAGTAAAAATAAGGAAATCAACCATAACTTGACAACGCCGCAACCGATTACGATTTGTTTTCCAGCGATAAAAAGGCGAAAGATGTCGAAATGAATTTTTGAATAAAAATACAGGGTGTTCCATTTGAAAAATTCTGATGAATGTCATCTGAATCTTGCAAAATTCTAAATGCAAAATTGAGCACCCTGTTGAAGAACATGTCGCAAAATTAGTGGATTGGTATACGTTGGACCTTGCTCCTACCGTAGCCAAAAATATTTTCAAAATCTGAATAAATGAATAAGTATACCATGCCCAATTCAACATGACTCTTCAATAATGGTAAAAATAGATTTATCAATTGTAACTTGGCAACGCCGCAACCGATTTCAGTTTTTTTCACAGCGATGTGAAGGTGAACCTCGACGGAATTAATTCCGAATGAACAATACTGGGTGTTTCATTTAAAAAATTTCTTCTTCGAGTTGCCCTGCTTTTATAAAACACCCAGTAATGTTGAAAATAATTTTGAAATGAGCAACTTCAGTAACTGAAAAAGTTTTTCCTCCAAAGTTTTTCTCTATAGGTTATGGCTTTCGAGATATCGAAGAATTACGCACTAAATGGACACACTGTATATAATACAGGAGCAGGGCAACACAATAACATCTGTAAGACGTCGTAGAAACATCCATATGGAATGATAGGAACATCTCTGGAAAATCCCTATTTTCCTTGGGACATTCTTGGGATGTTGCTGGCAACACCCGTGTCAGCATTTGCGATGTCTTATAAACATCCCATCAGAATGTTTGTGGGATGATACGGGATGTACCAGAGACATTCAGGGTACTTGATATGGAACATCTTAAAGAAACTTTTATATAGGATGTTTTTTGTTTGATGACGGTAATGAATGACACGATATGAATTAGTTTCAAACTGAAATCCTGAAAATGGCCGACCTATTTCCAGATATCAAGTAACAATCCGAATCCGAAAATATAAGGTCGGTGCGGTCAAATAACTAATGGAAGATGATAACAGTTGTTTGAGGCTCATATTTGTTGGCGGGCCGACGGCTGTTAGTTACTCTTAGCAACGTAGTTGTACCGCCACCTATCGGCTGGTATAACAAATAAATTTAGCAATAAATATGCTGAAGAGATATATTTTGATCTTGTCGTTTATTACATGGTTCATGAAGTTAAGCAAGTACTTTGGTATTGGCTTTGGTATAGGTATAAGTATATGTACGAATAATACAGTTTTGATTTCTATTTTTTATCAACTTTTCAATGTTCCAAATGTCACAATTGTTTGAACTGTTCAATCAAGTCAATCATCATTAGCAGATATGGAACCATGATATTGTTTATAAAAAAAGGTTCAAATGGGATGTTTCTAGAACATCCAATGAAAACATCTGATGGATGTCCCAAGAGAAAACATCTCTGGGATATCGTACCTAAGTCTGAAACATTGGGACATTTGTAGGACCTTAGCGGGATGTACCAGCAAGATCCCGTGTTGTTAGGGGTAAAAATAAGAAGAAAAGTTCGTATAAATATGTGTCCGAAAGTTATTCCTTTCTGAGATACAGAATGTCAAAGTTGAATTCTCATTCTTGTTTTTTGTTAATACATTTCAATGTAACTGTAATACTCGAATAAAGTTTGGAATCTCGGGGTAGTTTCCAATGACAATATCAAATTTCCTGTTAGTTTGTTTCTTTCGTGGAGGTGGCGCCACCTACATGTCTTTTGAGTCTTTTGAAAAGTCATAACTTTTTTGTGCGTACCTGTATCATGTTTCATAGTAGAAAAATAGATTTCTAGAACACTTTTGTGTAAGGAATATACTCCTGGTAGAGGTCTCTGCGAGCAACGGTTTTCGAGTTATTATGGGATTTGAAATAATCAATACAAGTAATTTGGAATGACAAGAAGTTTACATTCAAAATTGATTTATTAAGTAAGGGAAATTATTCTTCTTTCATTTCATTTCAAAATAGGAATCGGGTGTTGATAAAATTTGACACTAATAATAAAAACAGAAATCAAGATCAAATTAATACTAGAACAGTAAGTTGAGGGAATTGATTGAAGTTATTGTTCAAAGTGGCCAAAAAAGTAGTTTCAAATTCAAATGCATCGATTATTTCAAATTCCAATAACTCGAGAACAGTTGCTCGCAGAGACCTCTACCAAGAATATAATTTTCATACAAAAGTGTTCTAGAAATATATTTTTCTTCTATTAAAGATGATACAGGTAGGCACAAAAAGTTATGACTTTTCAAGAGACTCAAAAGACATGTACCTAAGTGGGGACTGCAGCCCTACAAAAGAGACAAACTAACATAAAATTTGATATTGTCATTTAGAAATACCCCTAGATACCAAACTTCATTCGAATATCACAATTATTCTGGAATTTATTGACAAAAAACGAAAATACGAATTCAACTTTGACACATCTGTATATCTCAGAAACGAATTACTTTCGGACATATACATATTTATAGGAACTTCTCTTCTTATTTTGACGTCAGCAACATGCTCCTGAATTTTTTACACGTACAAGAAACACCCTGTATTTCTGCAAACGGCACAAAAGTCGTCCATTTTCATACCAAAATTAGCTCTTGAATTGACGTTTTCAATACTGACACAAACATAGGTATGTTGCTAGGCTAGGGCTTCGCGAGACCAAGACCAAGACCAAGACTGATGGTATTTCCCATATAATGTTTATATTATAAAATTATTTCTTGAACAAGATCCCCAAACATTTATTAAATTGTTGATAAGACTCAGTATATGAGAGTGAAGAATGTTGTTTGCAATTTCAATATCAAGTTTGAGACATCTTCTCAATGCACCAATAATTGGAGATATTTTCTTCGTCGAAACGTCAATATGTTTGTCTCACTTCAACCTGTCATCAAACCAGAAACCAAGATATTTTATCTGGCTAGTTTGTTTCAATAGTTCTTTTTTATCTCAAGGTTGAGGTGGATTTTTTGTTTATTTTTTTGGTGAAAAATCATATATTGTGTTTTATTAGTATTTACCGATGAAAGGTAGAGTGGAGCCATTTTTCGAATATTTCTAAGTCTTCATTTATCATATTTTCTAAATTTGAAGGATTCTTGCCTCCAAAAAAAAACTACTGTATCATCTGCATACATGGTTACTCGTTAGACCAATTTGATTGATATTTTGAACATATATATATAGTATAGGTCCTAAAACAAAACCTTGTGGGACACTCTTATCAATTGATAGTTTATTTGACACAGAGTCGGTTGTTATACCAAACAAATCTCTGTATTTTTAGGAGTGTACGCGCACACAGCGTACAGAAACTGGGAGAGCGACACCAGCATCCTCAAATCCGGCCAGGACCCGACCATCTGTCAGGACATCGCCCGCCAGCTCATCTTCGGCGACACAGGCAAAAACCTGCAAGTCATCCTGGGCGGCGGGCGCAAGAAGTTCCTGCCCAAGGAGGTGGTAGACGAGGAGGGAAAACGGGGTGAGCGATCCGACGGCGCCAACTTGATCGAGGAGTGGAAAAAGCAGAAAGAGAGGGCAGGAGTGCGGTTCGAGTACGTATGGAATCGGGAGCAGTTGTTGCATGTGCAGAATGACACTGAGTATCTGCTTGGTAAGTATCAATCCAGTAGAATTGTATTTTCATTCCGAAAGAAGAATGAAAAGAAAACAACACAAAGTCGGTCGACCACACTTTATATAAGAAACTTCCTTGAAAAGTTACCGGTTTCGGCACTATACGGCCATCATCAGACAATGGTACCTGAAATAATATCATGACAATAATGATATTGAAACAATTTTCATGAACATATCAAACAATATGGGACTCAAGATGTAAAAACAATAATCATGGTACGTACAAACGATTTCCTCAACGGGTTGGAAGAATCTGTAGCATTTATATAACTTTTTTAAATTTACTGAGGAGCCAGAAAAAACTGGCTCTGATAAGATTGAACATGGTTTCTAGAAAAATTGTTTTATACCAACATCAGCATCAGTTTGCCGTCAGTACTAGAAGGAACTGAAATTGTGAAAATTGACAATTCATGGAAGAAAAATGACTTTGACGTTGGACACGTCGGACACGAAACAAAAACTAGTGAGTGACATGTGCTAAAGTGACACAATAGATCTTGAGGTTACATCAAGAAGAGAAAAGGTGCGAAGAAGAGAGCTGAGCATGTAGACAACAGATCAAAGAAAAAGAAGAAGAAGGAGAAGAGAATAAAACAGAAGAAGTGGGAAGTGTAACAGAGAAATGAAAAGAAGGGAAGGAGGAATAGACAATCAGATATCCAGTGGCGGAGAGATAACTGCAAAGAAGGGAAACAACCATAAAGAGTTGTGACCTACAAAGCGCTTAAACAGCCAAAAGTCACATTACCACAAGCGATGATCGATTTGTGGGCATTTGCGACTGCTGCAGTCGAAGACGGGGTGGTTTCGAAGAAAGATTTCAAGGTTTAGGATAAGATAAGATAAGATCTTTATTTCCAGTAGACAACACAACATTGTATAGGAATAGTCAAAAACTTAAATCTAGGTAAATGTAAATGTACAAACACGAAAAATCACAGGTTTGAAGTCAAGATACCAATTAAAATAGGAATTTTCTTACTAATATCCTAAAACAAACATGCATGTCAGAATAAAAGCCTACAGACAAGACATAACAGTTCTATGACATAAACTCTTCAACACTATATAGACATTTTTCTATTAGAACTTCTCGCAATTGTTTCTTGAACAGTTTAATACATTTACTTTCTTTTATATATTTTGGCAATTTATTAAATATCCTGGGCGCCATAGAGGAAGGAGAGTTGAATGATACGCTATATTTATTAAAAGGTACATGAAGGTCATTTTTGGTTCGGGTATCAAATTGATGTCTGACTTTATTGGTTCTGAATAATGTGCCTCTGTTCTCGAATGAGTATACAGAGAGTTCAAAAATAAATAATGAAGGTAGGGTTAAAATTTTATAGTTTTTAAAGACATCCCTGCAACTTGTACGGCTCGATATACCAACGAGAGAACGCAAAACTCGCTTTTGGGCAATAAAAACATCGTGTGAGGATACAGATAAACCCCATAGACATATACCATATCGCAATCTACTATCAGCTTGTGCATAATAGAGTGCAAGTAGTTGATTCATTTCCAATACTTTCCTAGTGGTTCTGAATTGATATGATAATGAATTCATTTTTGATATCAGCGATTGACAGTGAATTTTCCAGTCCATACATGAATCGATTTGAAAGCCTAGAAACGATATGACGTTACTATTACTCGAGACATTTGGCGTTGAAGCCTCATCTGAGCCGAATGTGATATCCTGACAAAATTTTTGACGGTTATGAAACCTTATCGATTGTGTTTTTTCGACATTCAGAAACAGCTGATTTGCAGAGTACCATTCGTGCAATCTGGAAAAAACTGTGTTGCATTTATCTGTCAAGGCTAGATCGGTTTTATCTGATATGATTACAGATGTATCATCTGCATATAAAGTTAATGATGCGGGTACAGATAAAATACTCAGATCATTGATGAAAAGGATGAACAATACCGGTCCCAAAACTGAGCCTTGCGGCACACCAATATCAATATCCTTCATTTCAGAATTTTTATTATTCACGGTGACATATTGTTTTCTGTACCTTAAATAATTCGATATCCATTCCAAAGGTGGCCCTCTGATACCATATTTATCTAACTTTTCGAGTAATATAGAATGATTGACGCAGTCGAATGCCCTGCTAAGATCACAAAAGATTCCCACAGGGCACTCGCCTGCCTCAATAAATTCAATTATCTTATTATAGTATGTATGAACTGCTGTTGTGGTTGATCTTTTACTAAGAAAACCATGTTGGCTTTTAGAGAAAATATTGACTTCATAACAAAATGAAAGAAGCCTGTTCAGGAACGCGTATTCAAAGACCTTCGAAAAACTCGATGGTACTGTTATTGGTCTATAGTTTTCTACTGAATGTTTGTCCTTCTTTTTGAATACTGGTGAAATTCTTCCAATTTTTAACATATTTGGAAAGTGGCCAGTGGAAAATGATAAGTTCACCAAATGTAAAAGTGGAGTGGATAGGATATGGAGTGTTTTTCTCAAGAGAAACATGGGTACTTCATCGTGACCTGAAGAAAACTAATTATTCATTTTTATTCGTAGTAGGTCATATAGCTCTGCTTGGTCATACGGGGTGAGGAAAAAAGAGTTACATGATGTTGCAATCTTTTTAATAAAGAAATCTGAATCAGGACCTTTACAGTCGATTTGGTTGACGATGTTTCGGGGTTCTTCTATAAAATAATTATTAAATAAGTTTGCTACAGTCACTGGTTCATTCACAGAATAGTCCCCCACTTTTATCTCGATTTCCTCTCGAACAATTTTTGTTTTATTTGATAGTTCAGCAACTATTTGCCATGCCGACTTTGTTGGATTGTCGGATGTATTGATTTTATTTTGAAAATACTCCTTTTTTGTTGTAATAATCAAATGTTCATGTTTTTGTTTTGCTTTTTTATACATATCTGATAACTCCGGAAACTTCATTTTCAACATATGTAGGTCTCTTAAATTTTGGCTGGACGATTTAACTTCCTGATTTATCCATTTCTTTTTTAAAGAATTGATTTTATGGCACTTTTTAGGAAAATGGATGTCAAAATAAAATAAAAATATCTCAAAAAAGTGCTCAAAAGCTTGGTCTACTTCATTCATATCAAAAAGTCCTGTCCATTTCTCACTCTCAATGTCAGTGACAAATTTTTGAATCGCGTCATTACTGTACATACGTTTAGGTTGCATAGCCAGCCGGTTGGAATATTTCGTCACTCCTAAGTCAAACAAAACTGATTTGTGATCAGAAATGGTATTATCCACAACACAACATGTTCCGTGGTTTGTGAAATTACTAAATATTTGATCAATAGTTGTGAACGTGTTTTGCGTTAGTCTCGTTGGCCAATGAACCATTGGCTTCATATTGAAGGATTCGAATACATTATATAATTTTATTAGATCTCTAGAAGGATGACTACAATAACCATCCAAATTGAAGTCCCCACATACCAACAAATTATAATTTGGCTCGAAAATATCAACAAGTAAGTCATACATCTTGTTCAAAAACATATTTATGTTACCGCAAGGGGATCTATAACAACATATAATAATTGTGTTAACTGAATCTAGTTTATACGAAATACCACAAACTTCGAAATCCCTGTCAATACAATAGTCATCTAAATCAAGTTTGTAGACGCCACTTATATTTTTTGTCAGTATAGCAACGCCACCACCCTTCATTTCACCTCTACAATAACTGCTTTATTTGAAAGATTTTAAATGGGCGCCAGATAAGTTTAACCACACGCAAATACCCGAATAAGGACTTCCCTAACCTCAAAACTTACCAACAAGGTCAAGAGAAATAAATCACCATAATAAAAGACGATAAATCATTCAACTAGTTTATTGAACAAGGATTGCACTTCTCAGGAGGCCCAAGATATAATATCATGAACAGTATCAATGCCTGATCATACACTCTAATAATAGAAAACACAAAATCCCCTATACAAAAAAAAATACGAACAAAATGCAATGGTAAAAATCATGCACGGATATTCGGTGTCACAGACTGGCAAGCAATACAATCAGTCATATGTCAAGCAATGCTGGCGAAATCGGGAGCGCAGAAATTAAGGATTGCATGCGATAGCAGATATAGAATTAAAAAAATATATAGGTATTATACGCGTCGCTTGAGCTCAGGCGCATGCGCGGACCATACCCGTCACCAGGAGTATGAGATTAATGCCAATAATTTCCGCTTCCGAATTATTACATGAATATGTATGAAAAAGGCAACTAGGATCTAGATGACATAAACGCTCAGTAAACAATAACCTGCTAATAGCAATAACAAAAAAAATCTATAGCTATTGTGAAAACATTTATAGTTACAGCAGATAGGGCAGCAAAAAAACTTTCATGCAGATAGGGCATAACACTGGGCATAGCAAGTTGCCATAATAGCAAATAGCAATGGTAGCAGTTAAGGCAGTAATAGCAAATAACAATTATTGTAGGCAAAATACTGATTGCAGCAATTCAAGCAATGTTAGCAAAATAGCAATTGTAGCAATATGTATAAAAAAAAAATAGCAACAAGCAATTGTACCAATATGTGTAAAAATAGCAGCAAGCAGTTATAGCAATATGTAACAAAAAAAATAGCAACAAGCAATTGTAGCAATGGAGGCAGTAATAGTAATAGCAAAATAGCGATTAAGCAAATAATAGTGGAATTTGTTCAAAGACTTGCGTGCTCCTATGTTTGCTTTTCCTGATTGGGACACCCTGTATGAGGTCCCACGTAGGTCAGTACTCGTCCCAGCAGCCTAGTAGTATGAGGGACCACCCTGTATATCGATAAAATATAGATGTGGATGAGGGAGCATCTGGGAGCCAAGGTGAGTTAGGTCCACCCTGTAGCTTTCAATCCTACAGCTCCAAAATGTAGACTCCAAGAAAAAACCCTGAGAAAGACATGAAATTACCATCACATTCTGAATAAACTGTTTCCTCAAAACTCACTGACAGTCAACACTAGCCAATGAAAAAAAACACAAAAAAAAATAAATATATCTGTAAATGAAAGCCCCAACAGATGAATAAACCAATCAGTCTATATTAGAAAATATTTACCCAAGAAAATATTGAATTAATGGAATATCGAAATTAATTTAATGAGGAAAAGATAATTTTGTATGCCAGTAGGCATTCTATGATGAAATTTTGCATAATTCATCAAAATAATATTTTGACAATCTCAAAGTAGAAATCGTTAAGCCCGATAAACTATAATATCAGAGCTCCACAAAACATGTCAACACCAGATGACTATATGAATAAATAAAAAAAGAATACCAAGTATTAAAGAAAATGTAGCTATTTACATATCCAAATACATGTAATACGTTTTGAATGTATCAAAACATCTTATAGAAAACAATATAAAAAGTTCTGAATGATAATAAGTTAATGATTATTATCTGAAACTGAAAATAAGGAAGTAATCTGCACTCAGAGAAATTCAGAAAGATGATTATACCGGATTAAAAATTACTAACGAACTTACCCTGGCCAAGGGGTTTTTTTTTTCTTGTATTGTAATTCACAGGAATCCTGATAATATGTCCCTTCTGGATAAGACAGCAAACACACATCTGTTTTAGTTTCGTCTGAGCTTCGTCAGTGGATTATCGCTCTTATTGCCCTATTACTTTAGGTCGAGTTTTGTCGAGCATGGGAATATGATCCTTATGGACTCTCGAGCCTGATCTCCAGAAAAAGCACCTCTACCATCTTATGGAGTTCGGACACCTGCATGTATAGTGTAACTTCAAATCCTCTATAAGAGTACAATTTTGGCCGAACCTTCAAAATATGCACACCATGCCAACAACGGAATACCAAAATTTATTATTGTGTTGCACGAAATAGCTCCCTAAAAGGATGACTTGGTAAAAGTCAAAAATATTGTGCAACAACGAAACACCATCAGTACTTGTCCGAACTACCAGAAAAGTGAGTTAACTGCCTCAACCTCCAGTGAGAGGTCGCGGTAGTCGCAACTTTGACACGGAGCACTCAGAACATCATCCATGCAATGCAACCAGAACTTACTCTGACGTCTAACAGATGGCGTCGTTTCAGGAGCCTACTACCTGAAATAAATACAATTCCAAGGGCGTTAGGGATTCCAACCAACCCGTCAACACTACCCAAGGAGCACATTGGAAGTGGGTACTCATTAGATCACCATCCAATTACGATTTATAATGTCGGGAATTTTGGTTTTAGATATGGCAACACTGTGGAAGTGGGGTTAGGAACGGTGGATGTCAACTAATCAATGTCAACTAGTCAATGCCAACCGATCTATGTCAACTGATCAGCTGATCCACTCGAGACTGTCATCGGGTCTGTGAAAGATTGACTATTGACGTGAAATTCACTGAATATGCAGGTGATAGAAGATAAACAACAAACAACAATGTTTTCTCACCAAACAATAATGAATAAAATTTGTTGACGAGGTAAGTCGTTTAGTAAGTTACTAATTAAATAATGTAATTTTAATCCACTAATAATTCGGTACACTCAAATTATTGATGTAAATAGACCAACCAAGCCCGAATTCATGTTACCCTAGTAATTCGTTCTATTTATTTTCAGCATTCGCGAGACGGCCTCCAACACGTACTATCGTATCGAAGCAGGAAAGAATCGAAAAACACGTTTATCGTCGAGAATCTCCAGTGAACAGCGGTCGAGATTCCTAGCGTTACATTGTACTACAGTACGAAGTAAATATGATGCGAAGGACGACGATGTTTGGCCATTTCCTTCACGTACTCCCCTTGGACCTACTGTAGAGACGTAAAATGACGAGATGTGGAAGAATATTCATTTTCTTTCTCTCATTTGTGTTTCTTTTTATCCTTTTCTGAAGCTAAGTGTAAAAATGTTGAGGAAATATACTAGGTGCTCAATATTGTGTTATTTATTGGTCTATTTTATTTACTGAGGCTATACAATTGCTTTAGAGTTAAATTTAAACGTAACAAATCCCCCCCTTTCTTCAAGAAATTTACCCCGTAAATTTCTCATAAAATAAAAAAAATTAATATAGCGTAGAACGTTTAGTATTAGACTTGAACTTGATCACTCATCCGGACCTATTTTCAAGTCTTTTGTATGCCAGACTCCCTTTGAATTTCCTTCAGAATCTCTAAGCTCGTATGTCCAAGGGGATAGTCGTTTTTTAATGTAAAATGGGCCTACATACGTGGGAGCCAACTTACGATTAAAATACTTGGCAGCATCCGACAACACATAGTTTCTCTTCCAGACAGGCTGGTTAGGGAAGTACTCCACGTGACGACATCGTAAATTGTATCTATCGCAACTTTTCTGACCTGCGACTTCCAAACGGCTGCGAACATCCGCGTACATTTTCCTAAACGATTCGTTCCGACTAGCGTCATACACCTGAGTAGTGTCTTCCATGTCTGGAAGGTCGCCCTGAGAATAATCCTTTCCCGACAGGGCCATTCTATGACCAAAATTCATGAAATATGGTGTCACTTTGGTGGTCTCATGCTTCGATGTACGAATAGCACAAGCAACTTCATTCAGATTATCATCCCAACAACGATGATTATCTGACACATACATTGACAACATCGTTTTGATGGTCCGGTTGACTCTCTCGGTCGGGTTTGCCCTAGGGTGGTAATTTGCGTTGAACTTCAGCTTACATTGATATTTCTCGGCCAACTTAGCGAACTGACGACTACGGTATTGGGGACCATTGTCACATACGAGAATCCGAGGAACACCAAATAACAGGAAAACATCTCCTTCGATTTTACGTATGATGGCTTCTGTGGAAGCTTTCCTAAGAGGAAATAAAAGTGAAAATTTGCTGAGATAATCAGTGACAACCAAAATATAACAATTTCCATGTTTGGATCTAGGCAAGGGCCCGATTAAGTCGGTGGACACCATTTCCCATGGTCTAGATACTTTGGGATGCGAAGCCATTTTATCGGTAGGACGCCCCTGGGATACCTTATGCATCGCACACACCCTGCAACGACGTACATACTTGGAAATGTCGCTCCTCATCTTTGGCCAGTAATACCGTTCCGCTACCCTAGCAAATGTCTTGTACACACCGGTGTGACCCGATGTAGCAGGTTCATGAGCAGCTGCAATGATTCCAGGTCGCTCCTCTTTAGGTACCACCTGCACCCATGAATCATTAGGTGGAGTTAGACCTGGATAATCCATGCCCACGTGTTTCCACAAACGACCCCCAGACTCCCTCCAGTTTGCGAATTTCAGTGGAGACTTCCGAATCCTACTAACCATCGAAGAATACCACCTATCCCTCGGGACATCAGACTGCTCGAGTGAGCCCTCCGATACTTCTGCGACCACTGAGACTGAATCCACGACAGGAACGGCCCTAGAAAGCGTGTCTGGTAAGACTAACTCCTTTCCTTTTCGGTGGATGACCTTGAAGTTGTACTGTTGCAGGCGGACAGACCACCTCGCCAAGCGCCCAGTCAAATCTTTGAGATTCTGTAACCAACATAAACTGTAATGGTCAGTTATGACCGTAAACGGCACCCCCTCAAGGTAAGGACGCAGCTTCTCAACGGCCCATAACACCGCTAGACATTCCCTCTCTGTAGTAGAGAAGTTACGCTCTTGTTTTGTGAGAGACCTACTCAAATACGAAATTACGTGGTCTCCATCGTCATGAGGCTGCATCAAGACAGCACCAATGCCATACCCAGAAGCGTCTGTCTGGACCACGAACGGCTTCGAATAGTCTGGACAGCTCAAAATTGGCGCAGCCACCAATGCTTCCTTGATGCGTCTAAAAGATTGGTCACACTCAACCGTCCACCGGAACTTCACACTCTTGCGCAAGAGGGCTGTAATAGGGGCTATAATAGAGGAAAAATCATTCACGAAGCGTCTATACCAGGAGAAGGTCCCAACAATGCGTCGTACCTCACTTACACAAGTTGGGGCTGGCAACTCCAGCATCGCCTTAACTTTCTCGGGGTCTACATGTAAACCATTGCGGTCGACAACATACCCAAGATAGCGCATCTCCGGACGACAAAACTGGCATTTATCCACGCTAATAGTTATATTGGCTTCTCTAAGCCTACGGAACACTTCATCAAAGATTGCCAGATGATGCTCAAATGATTGACTAACAATGACGACATCATCCAGGTACACAAAAACATTGGGCTCCAAGTCATGACCTAAGACATTATCAATGAGACGTTGCCACGTTGCAGGGGCGTTATGGAGTCCAAAAGGCATGCGGCGAAATTGGAATAATCCACGATTAGGCACCGTAAATGCTGTGAACTTCTTAGAGTCCTCGGCCATCGGGACTTGCCAGTACGCCGACTTGACATCTAGGCTGGATAAATACCGGGCGTCCCGGAGCTTATCGAGGGTATCTGAGACAAGAGGTAGTGGATAACTGTCACGTACCGTCACTGCATTTAATTTACGGTAGTCAACGCAGAAACGAAAAGTATCATCCTTTTTCTTAACAAGCAATATAGGAGAGGACCACGGGCTATTGGATGGTTCGACGATCCCCAATGAGAGCATTTCCTCTAACTCTTTGTCAATCTGCTCCTGCACTACCGGGTTCACCCGATAAAACCGTTGCTTGATTGGAGGGCTATCAGTTACGATGACGTGCTCCGTTCTATTTGTACAGCCAAGACCGACCCCCATAAGTGACACATTACGATCCACCACAGCTTGAAGCCTTGCCTTCTCCATTGGACTAAGCAAAGTCTGACCACTAACATGTTCCACCGAATTTACAACAACAGGTTGATCAGAGAAATGCCACTCGTTGTGGCGGAGGTCCGGAACGACACCCATCATTCTCCAGAAGTCAGCTCCTAGGATTAATAACTGAGGTAATTCGGGGACCAGAATGGCGCGAATTAAACGAAACCGCCCCCTGACTGAGATTGGCAATTCTACTACCCCAACGCTATTACAGCGAGCTCCATTGGCGACTGTACAGATTGAAGTCTCGCTATAGTCTACAGGAAGTCCCAACTCTTTGACAACAGTCAAACCTTTACCACCAAGTATGGTTCTGGATGCTCCAGAATCCAGTAGACCTAATAATGATTTTCCCAAAATATCAACTCGAAGATACGGCCGCTCATCGTTGACCGCATGCTCTAAAACAAAATCTAAAAGAACTTGGAGATTCTCGACCGAGTGTTTCCCGACGACACGCCCACCTCGATCCACTAGGTGTGTCGTACAGCGTTTCCCTGCTTCGAACAACTAGGACACGTTCTCACAGTCACACCCTCTCTTTTGCACCGGTAGCAGAACATCCCTGCTTTCACTGTACAGCCTATGGCTCTATGCCCAGGTTTGTTACACCTGTAACAGACTATCTCTTTCGAATTTCCTGCAGACGGTTCACCTCGAGGGGGGTCAGCTACTTGAAAAGTATCGATATCAGCATGGCTCACACCAACATACGCCAAATCTGGCTCTAATGCACTACTTCTCCTAGATGGTGCTGTAAAATTCTCTACCGCTTCCTTCCTGGCTTCCAACCGTCGACAAAGCTCACGAAGGTGCGCTATAGAATTCACCTCCACCAAGGCCAGCTGATTCTGGTAAAATGGTGCGATATTCCGAAGCATTATTTTCAATTTTGTCTCTTCAGACACATGGCAAGTCAACCGCTTAAAGTAACCTGCCATAACCGCTAAGTAGATCCCAATGGATTCATCAGGTCCCTGTGTTCGTTTACGTATTTCCTCGAACAGTTTTTCGTTGAAATTCGATGACAAATATTCCTCCCTAAGAAGAGCAACGAATTCGTCCCAGGTGTTCACCTCGTGCCTGTATGCTAAGTAAAACTGATAGGCCCTACCTGTGAAAAGATCGATACCTGATTCTAATAAGGTTTCTTTAGGGACGTGGCGAGCAATTCGCAGTTCCTCGACCCGTTCTAGGAACGCGCTCAAAGAGTACCCTTTTTTGTCACCGGAAAATTTACAATCCCATTTATTAGGAAGGATGGGTTTCACAAGATCCGGGTTGACACGAACCGGAGAAACACTGGAAGAACGCCTCTGAGGATGCGAAGGAGCAACGAAGTTACTTGCTTCCAAGAAACTGAGTGGTGGTGGAAGGTTTTGTGCCTTTTGATGTTCCTCAGCCTTGAAATGAAGAAGGTCTAGAAGTGCCAAGGCCTTCGCCAAAAACTCAGGACGTTTAGTGCAGTCCTCATCGATGTTTTCGATGCGGTGCAAGACATGGGCCAATTTGGTTTGATATTGAGCAAAGGAATTACTCGATTTCGAATCGTTGAAATCAGCTATACGAGGCTCCAGGTCGGCCAACTTTTCTTCGACTGCCTTCACATCCTCTGCCTCGGTGAATGGGTATGTCGGCATCTTAATACTATCCCCACTCTTTTCCAACCTAATGGCCATGGTTAAGGACTGCCTCATCTGATCCACCGTTCCTGTAGCTATACCCCTTATCATGAGCTCATAGGAAAGCTCCTCCTGGTTCAGCCTGTTGACTATCATCTTTGCAGCCATGATGATGGACAATTGAAACTAAATAATTGACACCGAACCCACAAAACTCAATATTTTGGAATCCTCCAAAGAAGATGCGATATAAAAAAAAATATATAGGCCCCACGTTGGGCGCCAAAATTGTGACCTACAAAGCGCTTAAACAGCCAAAAGTCACATTACCACAAGCGATGATCGATTTGTGGGCATTTGCGACTGCTGCAGTCGAAGACGGGGTGGTTTCGAAGAAAGATTTCAAGGTTTATT